AAAATTCATATTTCTTTGCTAATTCCGCTAATTGCAAATCTAGTAGGCTGTGCACTGCGCTGCGTTTGACTTACGTAGGTATATGAATATATTTTAGTAGTATTTAGTAGTATATTTTTCGGGTTTGTAATTTTTTTAGTAAAACCATAGTGGTTTATTTTGATTTTTTTATTTTCTGCACTTAGCGGAGCCTTTTTATAATTTATAAAAAAATTTAGGGGGGGGCAGCTGCCCCCCCTGCCCCTCGCTGGGTACGCCCTTGATGAGACCCGTTCTAGAACAGTATTTTCCAGTCGATCAATTCATTTGTCAATTAGGATAAGCGTTCAACTTATTGAAAAATAGGTAGGCAACTGGAAATTACTGGTTCTGGAACGGTTTTCATGTCTTGGAACGCAGAGCTAAGGTTTATTGCGAGTCACAGTAATTTTTATTTTATTTCGACGTCATCTATAAATATCAATTTTTCGACAACTTTTAGGACGTTCTACCCCTGCTTTATGTAAAACCCAAGAGATGGCGCTATTAATTGCATCATTTACGTCATTTTCAAGCATGTGCACAATCTCAAATGAATATGCACAATCTTTCATTGGTTAAATGCACACTTGGAAATTTTCTTGAAACAGGCCTGTTTCTCAGTGGAGAACGGACAGTACAGTATGGTACTACTACAGGGCAGAGTGCGTCGTTTGCTTCATGCTAGATCCGCCACTGATCAATGTTGTGTTAACGCATAAGGGCGGGTATTATAAAACTGCTTTGACAGTTAACTTGAAGTTAACTTTTTGAATTACATGTAATTCCAGAAGTTAACTTTAAGTTAACTCTCAGAGTAGTTTTATAATACCCGCCCTAAGCCTAATTAAATTCATTTTTTTAATAAGATTAAATGAATACTAAAAATTAATTGTTTAAATAAATGTACAAAAATCAATTAACCGCGCAATCTGATGCTGCAAACTTGGTATCGGTCATAAGAGATAGCGCCGTATGGATATTTAGTGAATTTTCTTCATAAATTTGTTTTTCTTGCTTTTTTTTTGTGTTTCAATGTTTCAATAGGTAGTGTTATGTTATTCGGGGTAAAGGCAAATCGAATAAAACAAAAATTATAAAAATTGGCCCGGCCGTTCTCGAGTTATAGGTTCTGTAACCAGCCCGACTTTGTTTTATATGTATAGATAGATGATAGATAATATGTACCATCGTCACCAAAAGTATCTGGGACAAAAATAATGCATAATAATCTCCTGGACTAATTCTAATGTCATTCATTTCAATGCATTTAATTCATAATTTGACAAGTATTTGACAATAAAATTCATATGATAGTACAAGAGCTAATAGGATGCTGTCCCAGTTACTTTTGGTGACGATGGTACATACTAATGGCGTTTCCGATTGGTAGATCAAGTGCAATTTTTTCTATTTCTGTCTTTTTCTTCTAAGGGTTGATAAAAAGGATGCAAATACACTCAGTGCGCATTGAATCTACCAATCGGAAACGCCATAAGAGAACCGGAACGGTCAAATTTCTCTGCAACGCTGTGACATAAGGGTATGGTATAAATTTTGGTATACGGGGGTTCCCAATAGTGCCGGATTAAAAAAAAAATATAAATTTAATTTTTTTATGCAAAACTATGGTAGTTTTTCATGTAATATGTTGGTCAAACTGAAGTGTTTTCAAATTTTTCTTCCGTGTGTTTTAAAAGATATGGCAATACTGCATTTTCATTTAAAAGAACTGGAACGGTGAAATATCTTAGCACCGGCCTAACATAACCATAACGGTATGAAATTTGGTATTACAGCGGTTTTCAAAAGTGCCGGATCTAAAAATAATATTTGCAACGTTGCTAGTTTTATAGTTTTTCCGACAAATCTCACAGCTCTATTGAAGTGAAACTTCTTTACACAGGGCAGGGGAAAAAAACTCAAATTTAGGTCTATTATTTAAGCACTTGAATAAATAATTTCTAATAATATTACGTTGTTACGCTGTTGTTGAGGTATTTCACCGCTCGAGTTCTGTTAAATGAAAATACTGTATTGCCATATCTTCTAAAATCCGCAGAAGAAAAATTTTATAATTTAAAATTTAAACAACTTTGGTGTGATCAACATTTTCAATGGAAAACTACCAAAGCTTTGCATTTGCAAAAATTAAGTGTTAGATTTATCGGAAAAACTATAAAACTGGCAACGTTACAAATATTATTTTTTGATCCGGCACTATTAACTATTAAGAAAACTCGTTGGCTGTAAAAAAAATCAAAAATATAAATGAGTATGACAGGGCCCCAAAATTTGTTTTGCGTCGGGCCCCAAAAGTCGTAGGTCCGCCACTGCTGATGCAGCCACCTGTTTGTTATTAAGGCTCTTGTAAAGCTCTTCCAGGAATGAAAATATTGCGTCATTTGTGCTTTTATTTGCCTGGAATCCAAATTGCTGTAAATTCAAAGTTTTGTGCTTCGCTAAAAATAAATTCATTCTTGTTTTCACAAGTTTTTCAATTATTTTAGACAAAATTGAAAGTAAAGCTATAGGCCTGTAATTATGAGTTTCGTTTTGATCACCACCCTTAAATAAAGGGACAACTACGGCCCTCTTTAGGCAAGCCGCAAAAACGCCATTGAGAAATGAAATATTAATACAATCCGCTAAGGTCTTTAAGGCATCGTCCTTTAGTTCTCGCAGCACACCAAGAGAAATGTCATCCCACCCAGTAGCTCCACTTCTTTTTATTTCACGAAGGGTCTGTTTGATTTCATGGATATCGGTAGGACAAAAAAAGAAGGAATCTTGAACATTATTTTTTAAGAACCTATTGTAATTGTAATCTTCTGGGATATCTTTCGTTAAGGTTGACCCAATAGAACAAAAAAATTCATTCATTTCACTTGGAGATAGTTTAGTATCAGTTTGAACTTTTTTATTTTTAACCCTTAATTCGTTAACGCACTTCCAGGCTTCGCGCTGTACGTTACTCGATTGCGTTATTCGCTTACCATAATAAATGCGTTTTGCATTCTTAATTGTTTGCCGATATACTCGCCTGTAGAAATAAAATAGAGCGTTAAAAAATGAATGGGAAGCGCATATTTTTTGAAGATACTTTTAAACCGTTTGTAATCCAAGGTTTCTTAGGTTTTATAGTCAGTTTTTTAATGGGAAATGCTCTATTATATATCTCACATAGAGAATAATGAAATAATTCTAAAGGATCCTGCGTCGACAATAACGCTCCCCAATTCTTTTCAGTACAGATTTTGGAGAACCTATCATAATTTGACCTACAATATATTCTACCCTTTTTTCTATTTTTTCGGGGTAGCTTAGTCCTAATTTTAAATACACCCGAAACAACATCATGATCAGACAGACCCGCCGGAACCACGTCGCACTCGACCATATCCTTTTCCATATTAGTGCATAGATAATCTAGAATGGTAGCCGAGTGCTCTGTAGTTCTAGTGGGTACGTCAACAAACATACTTAGATTAAAAGAGAGAGTAGATTTTTTAAATTTTGAGTATTACAGTCGCACATGTCTAAAAAGTTCAAGTTTAAATCACCACCCAGAATGACACGGCATCCAGCTGATATTCCAGACAACACCATTCTAGCTTATACAAAAACTCTTCAGGGCTTCCTCCCGGGGCTCTATACAAACATATAATAGAAAGGTTTAGTCTCATGCAATGTGCCATTGATAATTCAAATGTTTTTTCCTGGTTCAAATAATCAAACTTATCATATGGGGTAAATCTACATAATTCTAAAAAGTCGTCATTTACCAGTATTAGTGAGCCTCCATGCTTCATTTGTGAACGACAGTATTTATTTATCACTGTGTAATTCGGCAAATAAAATAGTTCATCTGGTCTTAGCCAGTGCTCACACAACAAAACAATCTTAGGGAATGAAATGCTGTCTAAAAATATAAAAAGTTCATTTGTTTTGTTTCTAGCTGACTGTATGTTTAGCAAAGCTAAGGATAGTTCACCAATACTGTGGTTAGGCCTAAAAAATCCCCATCATTACTTAAGCCAAGATCACACGTTTGAATGTTGTCATTTTCTCTTTCTCTAGTTCTGGATAGCGAAAGATCAATGTCAAAAGTGTTTTCACCAGTTTCTGCCAGGTTATCAGGCGACACACTGGAGTCACTCAACCTTACAGACATCAGAATTGGACTATGATTGAAATAATTAACCCTAATATATAATGATAGTATTCTACAAAGAGATTTCTTACTGTGCCTATATCTGCCACTTATTTTAAAGTTATCAATAATTCTAACGGAGGAATTTTGCCGCCTTTTCAGAGCACTTATAAAACTGTATATTTTAATAAAACAAGAATTATTTTTTTGGGCATTACTACCATGTAAGCAAATTATGACATTAGTGAACTTGCCCACATAAAAAAGTTCTTTCAAGATACGTCTACTACAATAAATATCTACATTCAAAAATATTACCACATGGTCGTTTTTATTGTAAGTAATAGTTGTGTTAAAAATATTTTTAATAATTTCTTTTGGAGGGGCGTTAGAATGCACTTTTCCAAAAATATTATAGGTGCCCTGATCCAAAAATGGACTTAAAAGTTTAGAAAAGTCTTTTGCATATTGGTCTCCTATAACTAGGATGTTTTTATTTTTAATATCATACTTGGTGATGTTAAAGGGTTTACCTCTTGAAAATGAAGTATCAATACTCTTCAACTGCTCGGTTTGTATGTTATTTAGTTTTAGATCTGGTATCTCCTCAATATTTGAAGGAGAGCTTGATTCACTTATGTTTCTTGTTCGAATTTTGAATGGATAAGGTTCCTCATATTGGAAGTTCTATTTTCCGCATAAGCTATGAAAGTAGCATTTTGGGCCACCTAACATGTTGCACTTTCCAAATCAATAAATCTTGTATTTCATCTAATTTTTGTATATGGTCACAAGAAAAAGCTTTTTTATAATTTTTATCCCATTTCAGCTAAGAAAACACTTAAAAAATAAACGACTGGAAAGCTTATCTCAAGTCGGAGTAGACCGTATTCTAGACCTACAATTTGGCACTGGAGAGGCTGCTTACCACGTCATTTTAGAACTCTATGATCGTGGTAATATGGTCCTTACTGATCACGAAATGACAATTTTGTATGTATTGAGGCCTCACACAGAGGGTGATAAAATCAAATTTGCTGTAAGAGAAAAATATCCTCAGAATAGGGCTAGGGAGGTGCTGGAAGAAGTTACCAAAGAAAAAATCTTGGAGATTTTGCAGAAAGGGAAAAATGGGGATCAGCTAAAAAAAGTTTTAGTGTCCAACTTGGAATATGGTCCGTCACTATTAGACCATGCTTTGCAAAAACAAGGCATTACCAATGCAGCAAAAATTGGCAAAACTTTCGATATCGATCGGGATATTGATAAAGTAGTTAGTGCTATTAAAGAGGCTGATATTTTATTTAAAAAAGCTCAAAAAGAACCATTGAAAGGTTACATAATTCAAAAGAAAGAAGAAAGAGCCAAAACCAATGCAAATGATGCTGAATATTTCTACTCAAACCAAGAATTTCATCCGATGCTTTTTGAACAACATTCTTCAATGCCTTATAAGGAATTTGACACTTTTTGTATGGCTGTTGATGAGTTTTTTTCAACTTTGGAAAGTCAAAAATTGGAGCTGAAAGGTAAGTTATTGACTCTAACATTGAAAAAAATCTAATGTTTATTATTTTTAGCTGTTCAGCAGGAAAGAGAAGCAATGAAGAAATTGGAAAACGTAAGAAAAGACCACAGTCAACGTCTAGTTGGTTTGGAAAAGGTGCAAGAAGAAGATAAAAAGAAAGCTGAATTGATTACTAGAAATCAAGAATTAGTCGATAGGACTATAATGTCAGTACAAATGCTACTAGGTCAACAGGTGAATCTTATTTTTACTTTTGATTAAAAGCAAGTATTGCTACTAAACAAATTTCAGATGTCTTGGGATAATATTGAAGAAGTTATCAGTGAAGCCAGGACAAGAGGAGAGCCAATGGCAGTTGCTATCAAAAAATTAAAACTAGAAATCAACCATATAAGTTTGTTACTACATGATCCATATGCAGAACCAGAAAATAGTGATGAGTCTGATAATGATGATGCTGATGATGAGGATAAAATTCCTTCAATGGTTTTGGATGTTGATTTAGATTTAACTGCCTTTGCCAATGCAAGAAGGTAAATAAATGCTTAGGAAGGAGTGAGATTTTTTGAAAAATAAAATATTATTTAGGTATTATGATCAGAAACGTACAGCAGCAAAAAAGCAACAGAAAACTATCGAGTCACATACGAAAGCCTTAAAATCGGCCGAGAGGAAAACCAAACAAACCTTGAAAGATGTGCAAACAATAACCAACATAAATAAAGTTAGGAAAGTTTATTGGTTTGAGAAATTTTTTTGGTTCATTAGCTCTGAGAATTATTTGGTTATTGCTGGTAGGGATCAACAGCAAAACGAAATTATAGTCAAAAGGTAAGAATAATTATGTCCATGACTGCCCAACATTGAACTAATTAAAGCCATGAAAATTCAACTTGGATGATCGATTACAAGAGAATATCTACTGTACTCAAGCTTTTTTATATTGTTCCTCAAGAATTTATGAGAAAACTTACCATGTTTAGGTACATGAAATCAACTGACATTTATGTCCACGCAGATATTCACGGTGCCAGTAGCGTAGTTATTAAAAACCCAACAGGGCTTCCTGTGCCTCCGAAGACTTTAAATGAAGCCGGTACTATGGCAATATGCTACAGGTAAACATAATGATTGCAGCTATAAATAATTATTTATGAATTTTGGAAAATTTCAGTGTTGCTTGGGATGCCAAAGTTGTGACCAACGCTTATTGGGTGTGGGGTGAACAAGTCAGCAAAACTGCTCCGACTGGAGAATATTTGTCTACAGGTAAGGTTTGCTTCGAAATAATAAGTTACAAAAATGTACAGCTGTAACATTATTTTAGGTAGTTTTATGATTCGTGGAAAGAAAAACTTTTTACCCCCTTCGCATCTTATTTTGGGATTGAGTTTTCTTTTTAGATTGGAAGATGGGAGCATTGAGAAGCATATAGGCGAAAGGAAAATTCTTGCAGCAGAAGATGACGCTTTAAGTGTTCAGGGGGGTGAAGCTAGTAAAGACGATGACGTCGAAGTTCCAATATTAGATGAAAGTGATGGTAAGTTTAAAAAAGGTACTAATAGAAATTTAACATTTGGAGTAATCTTTTTATTTTGCTTCCTAGAAGAGGCTGAAAAGCAAGAAAATGAAGTAATAGATGAAGATCAAAAATTGGATGAAAAAATTGACAGAATCGAATTAGAAGATCTTGAAGAAAAGAATGAACATTCCTCAGACAGTGAAGAAGAATCAAAATTCCCAGATACTCATATAAAAATACAGCATTTTGGTGGAACCAGGTATCAAAATAAGTGCCCCCAATATATGTACTTGAATAATTTTATTTGCCTTTTAGACACATTTTAGCAGAGCCAGTTATAAAAGAAGAAGAAACTATCGACGAAGAAAACATAATTTATTTAGGTGACGATAAACCAATACTATTAAAACCTAACCAAAATAAAAGTAGGAGCAGAGGCGCTAGCGAATCTAGCTATAAAGACAAAAACCATATTCAAAGACCAAACAGTGACCAATCAACAAAGCAGCAACCCCAATCGAAAAGGGGGCAAAAAAGCAAACTAAAGAAAATCAAGGAAAAATACAAGGACCAAGATGAAGAAGAAAGACAAATGAGGATGGAAATTTTACAGTCATCTGGTACACAAAAAGACACCAAAAAGTCCAAAAAAGGTGGCAAAGAATCACTATCAAAGAACACCAAAAAAGAACCTAGAGTACCGAGGCCTCAAGAACCTAAAGAGCCAAATGAAATTGATGATGACGAACCTACTGTACAAGCTGATGTTGAAATGATCAATGCATTAACAGGGATTCCTTTGGAAGGAGATGAATTGTTATTTGCTGTGCCTGTAATCGCTCCTTACAATACTTTAACAAATTATAAGTAAGAAAAACCCTTTGTCTTATTCCATAATAATTATTGTTCTAATTTGTTTTAGGTTCAAAGTAAAGCTAACTCCAGGTACAGCTAGAAAAGGGAAAGCAGCTAAAACAGCTGTTTCCATGTTCCTCAAAGATAGATCCATAACTCAAAGAGAAAAGGATCTTTTGAAAGCTGTCAAGGATGATCAACTAGCTAGAAATTTGCCGGGCAAAGTTAAATTATCAGCTCCTAAAATGCAAAACCTTAGAAAATAGAAAATGTTTTACTTGTAATAGTTTTTATTTGAATTAATTATGGCCTTAATTTTTGGTGATAAAACTTATGTTGAGTTATAAAATCAAGTTTTATTTTTTCCATGTCGACTACTTAAGTAAATACCACTCTGTACATCAATTTTATCAAAGTGTGTCGACGAGTCAGCATTAACTTGGTATAAATACCGCTTCGAAATCCATTACCAGCAGACTAAGGCTAGTGCAAAGTACCTCAATTGGGAAAAGCCCCTCTAGCTAAGTTTTTTCCCAGTGCAAACTACCTTTATTGGGAAATGGCCTTCTAGACTTTTCTCAAACTCAGCTTCAGTCACACCAAGTGTACATAATACAGAGTGGCTGGCCTAAGTAGTACGTCCCTCCATAGGAGAGTCATCATGGTATTATTTCTAGGGTAATATAATTCTCTATATTCAATACATATCTTATTCTACCAATCCCAAGCGAGTTTCTCCCTACCTGAACCCCACCTACGCCCCCATGTCACGCTTCTGTTGTGATTTCCCAGGACGAAATGTATAGGAGTTGTGACAATATCGACAGGACAAAGAAAATAAGACAAATTATCAACAAAATAATTTAATTATTATTAAACAAATCACTTGAGTCATACATTAAATCACAAATAATTATTCTTATACAATTTATGAGCCATCTTATACATAATTTCTCCATAGCAAATTTTATTAAAATTGGTGAATTCACCCATCTCTTAAGTACTCTTCAAAGTCTCAATCAACAAATCCATAAGCCTAGAAAGTCGGCTCCTAATCTGTCCTACAGTCCTATTAGGTAATTTATCAGATATAATTTGAAGAGCATATTCTTTATCGTCTTCTTTCTGTATACTTTCTAAAATTATGGTATCTTCCTCTCGCCTCCACGGTTGTTCATCGTTTGTGTTGCTGTCACTCTCTTTAAGACTTTCTGTTGAAGAGCTAGTATCGTCAGATGCATAATTGTCTTGAGAAGATTCCTCAAGATAAACTTCATTTTCTGATTCTGCTGTTTGTTGGCCGGGTGTTAAAGGTTTTTCCAAAGATTCTCCTGAAGAATCCATGCATTCATCGGGTTTTTCTTGGTCCTGGTGGTCTTCACCAATTTCATGTTCGCTTTCTTCAATGCCAAGTTCTTCTTCTGTATGTTCAACTTCATCAGCTGTTATAAACTCTTCTTCTGTTACATACACGGGTATTGTGTTGAATTTCTGTTTGCTTACACTCTCACCTTCATCAGCAAATTCTTCTTCTGTTACAGGAATAGCTGTTGCAAAATCTTTTTTGGGTATATCTTCAATATATTCAACATCAGCGATTATTTCGCATTCTTCTGGTTGTTTTTCAGGCGCAGCTTCCACTTTTTTGGGTATTTCAGTTTTTTCAATTTTGGTTGCATCTTTTTTGGCTCTTTTACCAGAATATGTGCGTTTTCTTGGTTTGATATTGTCTTTCTGAACTTCTGAAGTTTCACTGCTTCTAACCGGTGATTTTTTTGAAGAAGCAGGTTTAGCGGTATCAATCTTTTTACGTTTTCTTGGCGCTCTTTGCGATACTGGACGCTTTCTTTTACCTAATTCTTCATCTTCTGTATCCTAATTTCAAGTAAATAAATTATTTTAAATTACTAAATATTTTTAAGCACACAACTCACTTCTTCCAAATTCTCCTTTCCACTTGAACCAGCAGCTAGTTTACTGGGACTAGTATCAGACCTTTTCTTTCTATGACTAGTACTAGTAGCAGAAATAGCCGACTTCCCCATCAAACGTAAATTATGATTTACATGAGGATTGGTTTTGAATGTTACAGTAGCCGGTTGAAATATTCTTCCAGTTGACAAATACAATGCTCCATTAACAAACTATAAATAAATTAATGATTAATGTTTCAATCAATAAAACAGCCTAAACTCAGGTTTACCTTAAGACCACAAGTATTACAATGTTTATATCTACTTTTATATTCATTATCTTCGATTTTATGACAATGGCATATGCAATTTTGCCCTCCATATTTATCTTCTGTATTGGGAACAACAAAGGTTTCGTATAACTCTTCATTATCTGGTCGAGCCATTTCTTTATTTATATCGATTGTTTCATAAGGACCTTCCAAAAGACTAAAAATTATTTGCAATAAAAAAATTCAATTCAAATGAAAAATCTACCTTGGCGGAGGTCTTTCATCCATAAAATTCTGTATAAACAAATCATACAAGATTGCATTGCCCTTAAACATTGGCACTAATGTAGATTTAACTTTGTCCATAGATAAATTATCGCATTTTGTAAGCTCCATTAGACTATTATAAATCTTTTTGAGCTGCGACGGTTGGTCCTTCATGTAGATTTCCAATTTTCGCAAAAATTGTACCCTTGCTTGTAAGTTTATCCAAGGAATCAGTTGTCCTACAAGACTGGCTTCCTTTTCTCTAAGGAAAAATAGAAATTCTTCAGCAAGTTCCATGTATTTTGGACGAAGAATGGCTTGTACATTATTATACAAGTCTATTACGTCTCCAGATTCGAAATCGTTTAAAATCTGCATCACTTTGTGGTAGTCGTCAAGTTCAAGAGTTGCACGGAGTTTATCATAATAGGCTACAGCAAACACTAAAAAAAAGAGTAAGTAATTTCCGAGGTAATTTCTGAAAAAAAAAAGTCTTACTTTCGTTCTTATGCTTTTCAGTTTCAGGATCGTCAGGTGTTGCGATAGATAAATTGGCCAAAAAATCCTTTTTTAACTTATTCTTCTTTTTTTCAGCTCCAGATGGTTCTTTTCTAATATTTGGCTTTAAGGTGGAACTGGCAACCATAAGGGCATTCATATCTTTTAGACTATCCTAAAACAATAAATAATAATTCAATCAGATCAGTGGACAAATTTTCAAGCCTTACTTTTGTAGATGTTGTGGGTTCTGAACTACAGGCAGTAGAATTTTCCACCGACTGTGATGTCTGGCATATTTGAACATCTTCAGAATTCCTACAAAATTCCACTTCTGTGTTGACTTCCAAACTTTGAAAGGTACTGCTTGTAATTGTTGAAAACTCCAAATTTTTTGTAACTTTTTCTTTTGGATTTATTGTACTAGAAGTTACTGTTTCGGGTTTTTTCAGACCTGCTGAACTTGCTATCAGTTCAGGAGTTGTTGATGTAACAGTATCTTCTCGGGTTTCATTTTGTTTGTTTCCTTCCATATTTTTTACAGGTGTATTAAGATTGGGCATACTATTCATGTTTGAAGTTTTATTCACAGTTGCTCGTTCAGGGCTTGCGGGTTGCTTATCATCCAAGTCGGCTAGAAACCTTACAAGCTTTCGGGTTTCCACAGGTACTAAGCATATAGCTAACAATTTTTCAATAGTAGTTACGCTAGTATTTAGTGTTTCATTAGTTTTGCTACTGATACTGTCTGTAGAAGTATCAAATGAATCGAGTTCTTTAGGTTTGTAGTTTGATTTCGGCCTTATTTTTCTTATTTTTTTAGCCTGCACGGCGGTGTTAAAATTGTAGGGGTAGGTAATCAATACGATTTCTCTTGTCTGAAATAATAACAAAGTGATGATGAATTTGTTGTCAAGAGCAGCATGAAACTAAACATTGAAATATATAATGAGGTATCCGTGTACTATCAAAATTGTAGAGGCATAAAGACAAAGTTGAATCAACCAAAACTTAAGTCTTCTAAGTAGTTATTACGATGTTATAGCTTTAGCGGAAACCTACTTAAATGATTCAGCTTATTCCTCAAAATTTTGTGATAATGGCAGGATTATATTTAGGACTGCTGCGGTAGATATTTGTGACGATGATCAGGAAGCATTGTGCGTTCAAATTAAATTAGAAAATTATCTGTTTTTGTATTTAGTGGTAATCTATATTGTCCCAGATAATTCAGATGTTATATGTATACGAAAACTTTTATGAAAAAAATAGAAGGGCGCATCTCTAGCAGAAGCAATTTCGAATTGATTGTCTCGGGTGACCTAAATATACCTGGGTATGTGAGTAAACTATCATGCAATAATATGGTAAATAGTTTCAGGACATTCTTGGCTTTTAATAGCTACAACCAATGCAATCAAATTCGAAATACGAATAGATAATTTTGGATGTTGTTGTTGCTTCTTTTGAGAATATATTGGTGGCTTGGGCAGAGGAAATTTGTTGCCAGTGGGCAGCTACTATCCCTGTTTAAGTGTGTCTCTATTATTAACAAATACTGCTTTAAAGCATTCTCGAATATAACAAAGTTTAACTTGAAAAAAGCAAATTTCCTCTTGATGTAAAATTCTTTCCAGTCTAAAAATTGGGAATTTCTACATCAGCCTCAGACTACGTTCCTAAAGTTTCCAAACCATATCTCTTACGAAGTGAAGATGATGCTATTTATATTGAAATCATAGACACCCACTTCTTTGAAATTTTATTTTGCACCCTTTCAAAAGAGTAGTTATGACACTCATAGTAGGGACATCAAATTTTCTAGCATACTCTTATATGTTTTGTATATAAAATAAGTATAATAATGTAATCGTTTCAAACATTGTAGGTTCTTAAAATCCCGAGTATTCCTCACAATGAAACCATACATCTTCCAAGCCCTACTCCCAACAACAGCCACGTGAGCATTGAATATCAATCCAGAATTAAATATTACTCTAGTCTAGATCCTTAATTTGAGAGATACGAGAAACTGAGAAACCCTTGATTGTATAGTATATGTAATGACAAAACATTTATTTACATTTAAAATAAAGCTTTATACTAATAACTATTTGGTAATATAGTCTATATCGGCCTGCAGAGTCATGCAATCATTGTCGTTTTTTAATTCCAAATTTTTTTTCCATTTATCTGGAAATGTGTTCGGAAACGAGGTTTGAAGACTCAGATCAAACATTATTAGCAAAGGATGAGACATTATTCCCTGAAAATTTGGAATATTACTACTTTCAAACTTGTTACTTTCCTATGGTTTGGATTAAGGTTTCCATCCCGGGATCCCAGAAGATTTTTCATCCCGGGATAAAAAAAATCGGAATCCCGAAAATCTCAATTTTTGTAAATTATCAAATTATCAATCTGCTTTATTCATTTTTTCCTTATCCGCGTTGCTCAGAAAGTATGGGATTCATTACACAAGAAACGCAAAATGTTTCAGTATTGACATTAGAGTGTATCTCTCTTTGAGTCTCATTGTACCCATCTTGGATGGCATAATAATATGTTGTAATATGGTCACCGCAATGATATCAGTTAATCCAATACCGAGTAAAATTCTGGAAAGTGTGCAGCAAAAATTATCAAAGTATGCTCTACAGAAAGTCGGGAGTGTATCCCCAGCGTGGTTGTAGTAATGAATCTTTGATGGGTATTTTTGAAAGACTTTGATTGAAGAGGAGCATAAGTATAAATATTTTCATGTATGTATAATGTATCGGGTGTTGACGAATAATACTGACCGCCCGGGGCCCAGCTATAACCTAGATATAGAGGGAGCCTTTGACAGCACCTCACATGTATCCATAAGAAGAGCGGCTAGACATAAGGGCTTTGACGAAATTACAATTGCATGGATTGTAGCCATGCTTGAGAATAGGAAAATCAAAGCAACTATTGGAAATATTACCTTGCATTTTTTGGGACTTACACCCCAATTGAAATTGTTACCAGAAGTTTCTTGATCTTGAAATGAATTGAATACGAATCGAGTTATATTTTAGTTTAATAAAATAATACTTGATTAGGCTCGGATGACTTCTGGACTTTTTGCTGATGTTTTGGTACCAAATCTGCTACTGTTGTCGAAGCTTAGGGGATTGAACACCAAGAACTGATATTATAAATCCACCTCAAACATACAGACATTATTACAACTATTGGAAGTGACTCTACAACGGTCAAATCACATCAAACCAAAATATGCTTCATTGTCATAAAATCAAGTTTTGTTGACAAAGCTAATAAGAAAAATGTATTTAAATATAAGTGCAATAATGAAGGTCAATATAGATTCAAACCTCGATTCAAACATTACAAGTCCTAAGGTCAACATACAAAATATAAAATATAAAACAAACAAACACAACCAAGTCTAAGTCTAACATGACATGAATACTGGTGAACTTCAAAAAAAAAAATTAATTTTAAAAAGCAACAGATGAATAAGAGAGACTAAATCAATACTCAACAGAAAGTAGGAAGTAAAACGGTTCAAAAATACAATGAAACTTACACAAAATCATTCAAATAGTCAAATTGAAATACTATACAAAAGATACAATAATGTATTCCAAATAGGTTAAAAAGTGTCACAGTATTCTTCCATCTCATAATATGCCCTCTCTACCAAAAGTCTTTTAACGGAGTTCTTAAATTGCCTGAGTGTAGGATAAAGCTTTATATAGTCAGGTAGGTGGTTATATATCTTACGACTCTCATAAATAATTGAATTTTTGACTAAGGTAGAGGAAGGAATTTGCACGCCTAAATAGTGTGACAGTCTAGTGCCATACAAATGGCCGGGCATTGGTAATACATCCCTACGCTTATAAATCATACAGACCGTTTCCAAAATAAACAATGATGTAAGAGTTAGAATTTTTTTAGATTTGAATAGAGGCCTCCATGATTCTCTACTATTTACGTTACATATATAACGAATGGCACGTTTCTGTAGAACAAAAATAGGATGTACTAGGGTCTTACTAGCATTTGCCCAAAATACAATATCATAACGCAAATGAGATTCTACCAAAGCATAGTAAACCCTCCTCGCCAGAGTATTGCCTAGCTCCCTTAATATTGTGCGCACTGCATAACATCCTGAAGCCACTTTCTTCATGAGGTTATCAATATGAGTGGCAAAATGTAAAGACTTATCAATAAAAACTCCCAAAAACCTAGTTCCAGGCTTAGCCAAAAGAGGATCCCCGCCAAGATAAAGAATATTTATATTACAATGAAAATTTAGAATAGTGGCCTATCAACATTCAGTCATAAGTTAGCATCGCTCCACTGTTTAATTTTGAGGAGATTTGAAGAAACCTTTTCCTCTAACGCATCAACGCTAGAATCACGCCATAATATAGTGGTGTCATCTGCAAAAAAATGTGTCAGTTCAATATTGACAAAAGCAAGATCATTTATATATATTAAAAAAAAAAAGAGGGCCCAGTACTAAGCCCTGAGGAACCCCATGCCCATGCTTGACCTTATTGGCCTGAGATATTTGAGAACCAAAGATGACTTTCTGATAGCGCCCTTCAAGATAGGAGCGAAACCAGTCCAAAACCTTCCACCTGAAACCATATCTGTAAAGCTTGCACAGCAGAATTCCATGACTGACGCAATCAAAAGCTTTCACAGAAGACCGCTGCGAGAGCCTCACCGGCATTGAAACCACAGTAGATTTCCTCTAAACATTCATATATTGCATCATCAGTACTTTTCTTAGTTTGGAAACCAAACTGATTTGAATTTAGTATCTGATGATAGTTTAAAAATGACAAAAACCGCATTTTAGACAACTTTTCGACAATTTTCGAAAGGATTGATAATAGAGAAATTGGCCTGAAGTTTTGAGGTTTATCCAGATTCCCACCCTTATACAGAGGAATAACACTTGCAGTCCTCAAAGTATCTGGAAATTTTTCCGTTTCCCAGAAAAGATTAATCGCTCCTAAAAGGGCATCAAGTGAGTGTATTGCCACCACTGACTGCTATGGTCACTGATAGTAGATAAACTTCTCAACACGTTAAACGCCCAAGGGATCACGATCCTAGGATATGCTGAGGAGTTGAGGACCTTACAGTCCTCATTTGGGGAAAGCATGACAGGATCATCAGTGACCTCATGCAAAATGCCGAGCAAAATACCCTAAATGTCATTATTAGATGGTGTCGGCAGGAAGGTTTAAGCGTCAACCACAACAAACCCATAATTGTACCTTTAACAAGGAAAAGGAGGTTAAATATCTAGGAGTCACCCTGGATTCGAAACTCATTTGGAACCAACACCTTAAAAGTAACCGACCAGGCAATAGCCATTTGTTGAGCATGCCAACATTATTCAGCAAGACTTGTGGACTAACGCCAAAAATGATATATTTGTTATTTATTTACAATGGGTATAAGACCCATAATCACTTACGCTGCAATAGTATGATGGCGAGAAGTAAAACAAGACAGCGCAAAACCGACTGGCAACTGTACAAAGGTATGCATGTCTTGGAATTACAGGAGCAATGAACACCTGTACAACCGTCGCAATGGAGCTCATGATGAGCCTTTCCTCACTAGATACAATAGATAGAATAGCAATGGGGTAACAAAAAATGGTGGACAGGTGAAATAGGGGGAAAAATGAAACAACGAAACATATATTATAAAATAGCAGTTATAACACAAAACAGAGAAGACTAGGAGCAAGGAAATGTGAAAGGTCATAAAAGACAAGCAATGATGCAAAGTCTACACTAAAAAATGGAATTGAATTTGATGGAAAACTGTTGTCTAAGCCAAGTACTGTTCCGGAGGG